TAATATCCTCTTAATGCCTGTGTGGCTCACGAGGCCCCACAATGTTCTTCCTAGCAATTCTGTCCTGAGCTGATCTTCCCGCGTTTACCCTCGTCTCCACGCAGAAGATGGAAGGATAAATCGCGGAATCACGGAAAAAAATTTGCTTCCGAAACTAATTGACTGTCGTTGTTCGCCAGTAATGGGTGGAGATGCTTCACACTCCTCACAAAGCTCTTGCGTTGTGACAACGTCGTTAGCGTCACTCATTCTCTTTGCTCTACCATAGTTCCTGCGCTTTTTGGGAAGACATTAAAGGGGCTGTGAACAGGTCCCGGCTAGAGTGACTGTTGAAGAAGAATACATGCATAATTTAGAATTACACGTAAATTGAAGGTCCGGTCCTCGTAATGTAGGTATGTAAACACAGTACCGGGATAGTTTGCACAGTCGGCTATTAGGCTCTTGCAACAAATCCTGTGGTTAATTTGACAAGATAAGGCAACACTTTGGATTTTCTAATCGGAACGTGTTGTATGACCGGTCGGTCTCTGCAACGTCTGTAGAACCAACCAAAGAGGCTGGTTTTTCTGGTCCTCGTAAGCCAGTGTGTGTACGTCACCAAATTTTAGAAATGGCGTTGTCCTCGATATCACGGTGAAATTTGAATGGTTAGTGTGTAGTGCACAAGCAGACCCAAGATTGACCCAGTAGCATACGTACTTTAGGTGGTCCCTGTAACGTCGGTTCAGGGCACGGTCCCCATAAAACACCTAAGGTTGGTGACACACACACACCCACACCCGGGCTTGAACATCCAAGGTGAGACCAAAATCCGTACGGTTGAACTTCTTTGCTCGCCTTTGGTCATGCCTGGGCAACGACTAGATTGCGAACGGTAAGCGTTGTTTCTCGTTTGCTCGAAAATCCGCGAGGACGAAGGAAAAGATCAACGCAACACAAGTTCAAGTGGTCGTGAGCGTAGGATCGTGATCTGCGAAACCGCACGTCACGCTCACAGTCACGCTCCCACGCTCACTGGTCAGTTTTGGGTTCTTCCCCACGGATTTTCGAGGTAAAGAGAGATGAGATAATTTGTACTAAAAAAATCTATGCTTTCGATATATTAAAATTTGTGGTTCCGAGGATTGTGGGAGTGAAACAAAAGAAACCGCATCGAGATTGAAGGACGGATAATCACCGCCATGATTTCCTTTGATTAAACTTATTGAGTTTAATTTTGTGTTTTCGCAAACTTCTTTTATTTCAGTTTTTTTCGTTGAAAACAAAAAGTGAGTATCAAAAACAATAAAGACAGCTTTTCCTGATAACAGCTTGTCTACTTCCATCTTTGCTGATATGATATGTTGCTGACTATTTTAAAGTCCAACTGGCAATGGCGGTGAGATTAAGATGACAACATCTCTTACAAACAGAATTGGTATGCTTCTCTTTGGACAAATTATTCTAGTAAGCTTTATATCTCTCTCGCATCATCTGCAGTGTCACTGAGTTAACAGTAGAAACAGTCGCGATATCAGATGGTAACCGGTCGTTTTCCCTACAAGTCGGTTCGCCTACTTCGAAGTCGTTTCGCCTACACGACCGAAGTCGTTTCGCCTACACGATCTGAGTCGATTCGCCTACATTGAAGTCGATTCGCCTACACTAAATACTTAGTGCTAAATACTAAATACTTTTCTAAAAAGTGACAAATAGGTTTACGATAATTATAGTAATGTTTTTCGGAAGAGTATCATTCCACACCGCTGCAACGGAGCGGCTAAGCTGAACGCTCTGTCTCAACTTGAAGATCACCAACAGGAACTCGTCATGTACCAGAAGAACAGAGAAATA